AGCCACTGGGAGAAAGTAGCTGACTGCCTCACAAAAGTACTTAGCTCGTTATATTTGTCTAAGTTATGTAACAAGATGGGCTTAGAGGATATCTTTTGCCCATCTTGGGGGAGAGTCTTGAAATTTGTATCTAATTTAGGGTTCTTTTGGTAAAAAGGAAATATAGAGGAAGCCTTGGGATTTATTTTTAAAATGTTGCTATGCTCTATATAAGCCCATGCCATTAATGAATAGTGGAAGTTTTCGGAGCCATTATTTCTTTTATATTACTACTGCAAAAGCCAATAGGCAGTTACAACCAGTACCACGAAAATAAAAAATAACAACAGACATGACACAAGACTAGAGTGGATCTAGGGAGGTGGTGGTGACTGCTAGGGACATAGAAAGGTGAGACATGGTGGTAGGTGGGTTGGACAATGGTGAAACAACAGTTAGAGGTGGTCTGGAGTGGGTGGAACAGCTACACGGAGGATTCTAGTGGCTTTCATAGCAGTAGGGCTGCAGGAAGAATGATTCTGAGAGGCTGGTAGCGAGGCGGCAAGGGGGAAGGTTCTGGTTGGTTGGGACAGCAGCAGGGGTGTTGGGGGAATGCTTTTGGATGGCTGGCAGGAAGGAGGCATCAAGGGGGGTGGTTCTTAGTGGCTGGAACAGCAACACATATGATTTTGGCAGCTAGAACAGTAACAAGGATGCATGAGGAAGGATTTTGGGTGATCGACAACAAGGAAAGTGCATTTGGGAGAGCAGGAACTGCAAGAAAACAGTTGCAATGTGGCTATCGGGTTGATGCAACAAGGAGGAATGTGTGGCAGCGAAACGGGAGCGATGCAGAGGAGTTTGGGAAAGATAAACACTACTTCAAGAGCGAGATACAACTGGAGCACCACTCGGCCCTTGGAGGAGAATCACCGTCTCGGAATGAGATGTAGCTAGAGCACCAGTCGCCATCGGATACAATTCTAGAAGGAAAAATTGGGGGCACCGACTACTGCCCTGACAAACACAAGCAAAAACTAAATACCTAAAACAAATGAAACATATATATATATATATATATATATAAGCTTCTGAGAATTAGGATCGGGTCCCTCTATGGAAAGGAGGTGTTACTCCCTCATGGAAGACCCAGTCGGCTCTCTTAAGGCTGGATCGACTCAGTCAAGTCTTTTCGGAATGTTGAAGTTCTCCTGCGCTCGTGAAATCCCACGTCCAGACGCTCGTTCCTGCATCATTCCTCAACTCCAGCGTTCGTGACTGTCGCACCCAGGCTCCCACATCAGTCTCTCAGGATTGGGAGGAGCTTCAACCTCTTCTGTAAAAGTTTTTGACTTCTCATGATATAGTGTCAAGTCAGCCCCGTTAAAGGTGGTGGAACTACTATAACTTTATAGTAAATCACTCCTACATGCGTTATTTTAAAGCACGTCCAAATAAAATAAGTATTCATCTTCTTTTGGCACAATCTGAGTTGGAGCTGCATATAGGCATAAATTTTCACAATATATTTCTCAGGCCATTAAATCTGTAATTTGTTTCTTCCACTCTTCATACTAGGCAAGGCGCATCCAATAAACAAATTTGTCAGGAGTAACAAACTCTAGAACACAATGAAGTTTAACCACTCATGAGAGGTCTCTTCTTTGTCTCTGAAAGGACCTGAATTCCACTTTAGGATGTTCTTTTTCCTAAAGATCCTAAGACAATTTTCAGCGTTGTGGTTTATCCATCTAGTCTGATCAGTTGTTGGTGCATGCACTTCTGAACTTATTTTAATACCCAAATGACTTCATATAGTCTTCCCGAAATTGCACAGAAGAGTCTTATCTCTGACATGTTAGACCACACTCAATAGTGACAACTCAGAAAATAGAATATATATATATATATGAAAAAGTCTAAAATTTTTTTATGTGGGGTTGCATGTGTTTGGTATTGGCTCCTAAGACTTAGAGTCGTCTTGGACTACCAATGATAATTATGTTGGAGTCTCTCTCATGGGCTCAGCTTGAACTGTGTTTTTCCGCCTCATCAATTAAAATCTTGTACTCATTTTTGTTCTCACCTTCTTCAGTGCCTACTATATCATTAATCATTTCTTCAACAACTCCCTACTCAATTAAATAGATCGTACCATTATTTTGACAATCTGCTACATTGTGCCCAAAACTGTGGTACTTGATGCACTTTCTACTTGGGACAGATTTAGGAACTTTGGCTGGCTCACTCGTTCTCCGCTCTGAATCAGTTTCTCCTTGGGCGTGGGCTTGGATGTTTCCCTGAGCATACTCGTGTTGCTTAATCCTATGTTTGAAATCTGCCTCTAAGTTTTAGCGGTCATCCGGTGATGTTGCCTCTTCACTTTTGAAGATAGGGTCTAAACATTTAGTCGATAATGAATTGATAGGTAATGGCGCTGCATCTCTTGTTTTGTTTTGGACAAAGTAGTAATCTTGTTGTTTCCCTCACGCTAGTAAGTACTTACAATTTTTCCACCAAAACAACATACTTTTCTTTAACTTGCAGATGACTAGTTTCACCATTCTATATTGAGAGAAGTCATGGTACTCAAAGACATGTTCCACCGTCCAACGCCACTCATTGAACTCTTCCGGATTCATGTGGTCGCAAAAATATGACAAACACATTTTTACTTTAAAATCCAGACTCTTTTGATATTTCAAGCTAACTCTTTTGGGTAGGGGTTCTTCATCTCTGAAATATGCCTGGCAGAAGGGATCCACTGTATTCTTTCAATCTGACAAGTCACTGTTATGACTATGGGTGACCCTTCCGGATTGCCTCCTCTCGAAGGTGGTAAGCCTCTATTCCAATTGGAGAATTTTCCACAACAAACCCTCTATAGAATGTTCCAGGCATTTCTTTGTGGTTTTCTCATAAACGACATTAAGGCATTTCCGCTCGAACCGGTCTCCGATAATTGTCTCTTCGGTGTCATGGTTGTGGTTTTAGCTTGGGTAGGTGAAAGAAGGTATATAGGCATGATGTAGTGTCGGAAAAGAAAATTTTTGGGTGGTTGATTTGAAAAACCAACAAAGTAATGGGTTTTTGTGCGAACGTGAGGGTGGGTATTGGTGGATGCTAGAATCTCTAGAATAGGACTAGAATTAGCTAGCTCTGATGCCAAATGATACCGGATTTAACCCAAACAACGATAAACAAACAAATATTATTATTGCAAGCTAATAGGTGGTCACAACCAACGCCACAAAAATGGAAATAACAATAAACATGGCACATGACAAATGACTAGGGCGGATTTAGAGTGGTGGTGGTGGCTGTTAGGGACTTAGAAAGGTAGAGGCAAGATGCTAGGTGGGTTGGACAGCGAACAAACAACAGTTAGAGGTGGTCGAGAGCGGCTAGAAAAGCCTCAAGGAGGATTCTGACAGCTATCAGAGCAGTAGGGCTGCAGAAAAAATGATTCTGGGCAGCTGGCAGCAAGAAGACCGCAGGAGGGGTGGTTCCGGGTGGCTGGGACAGCAGCAGGGGTGTCAGAGGAATGCTTATGGACAGCTGGCAGTGAGGTGGCGGGAAAGGGGATGGCTCAAAGTGGCTGGAACAACAGCACAGATGATTTTGGCAGCTGGAACTGGAAGGATTCTGGGTGACTGGCAGCAAGGAGAAACGGTTAGGAGAGCAGGAAATGCAGGAAAATAGCCAAGCTGTGGCTGTTGGAGCGGCCACAACGAGGAAGAATGCATTACAGCCAATTGGGAGGGATGCGAAGGAATTTAGGAAGGATGACTACCTCGGGAGCAAGATACAGCCACAACACCACTCGACCAATGGAGAAGAATCACACCTCAAAACGAGATACATCTGAAGCACCACTTGACCACATATAAAACCTAAAAGGGAAAACAGGGAATGCTGACAACTTTCCGGAAAGAAACACAAGCAAAAACTGAAAACTTAAAACAAAGAAAACGCATATATAAATCCTAGATAGATAAGATTGACTCTAACTGTGGAAAGGAGGCACCAATTACTCGTGGAAGAGACGGTTAGTTCTCCCAAGGCTGGATGAGCCTGGTCCAGCATTCCGTAACGCAGAAGATCTCCCGCGCTCATGAAATCCCGTGTCTAGGCGCTTGTTTCTGCGTCATTCACCCACTCCCACGTTCATGAATTCTCGTACCCAGGCTCCCGCGTTAGATTGTGATTAATATTTTTTTTATTATTTTCTCATATCTAGTCTAAAGCTTACGTTTCAATCAGCTTAAGTCATACATCTCACCTCGATAAGGCAAAACCTCAAATTCTGATTTTGCCATTGAGTGGATGGAATTGATTTCTTTATTCACTTCATGTCCTACCCCTATTTTGAACCTTAAGACTTAGCAAAGAAACTAAGAACTTCAAGAGAGTTAGGTCACGATTCCAACAAGTAAATGAATATATGCTCGATTGTTCCATTCTCTAGTGTAAGATGCACAATATCAAGCAATTAAGAAAAGATTTACATATATAACACTCATTTCCTATGTATTTACATATTTAACACATAAACAGCAATTTTTACATACACTTTACCTATGCGTAAAAAGGCGCATTATACCTTTTTTAGTGATATTTTGAATGTGATATGAAAGATTTGGGTGGTATAAATGTAAAAAAACAGAATTTAAGTGTTAGATATGTAAATAGATAGAAATTTGGCGGTATGTATACAAATACCCCTTAGAAAAAGGTTCAAAATAAGCACCTCATCATGACCGTAATAACCAGATATGCAACTCATTCTGGGGAGTTCCCACTTCTGAACACTTCCCTTGAATCCAGGACCAACCCCTCCAGTATAAATTGTCGCCTCATCGTGACAAACCGCTAACGACCTCAGCACACCAGGATGAGCACGAGCAGAGTACAGAATCGAAGCTTTGATCTTCCATGGAAATTCTTCTTTTAAGCTTCCACTGCGACTTAGAAAATCGGGCAAATCACAGCTGAAATCCGGACCAGGGAACCAAAACCATGGCTCGTTTTGTTCAAGGATATGAGGAGCCATGGAAGGCTTCGAAGATAAACTTTGTAGAAGCTCATCTTCTTGATTGCTATTCATCATATTTGTGCCACCGAGAACTCCTTTCGACTGCGGAATTGACCATCCGACCCCGTTGAGAAGCAGTTTAGCGGGGTTGTACTCTGTCGAAGATACGTTAACATTAAGACTTCGAAAATTCATATTTCCTCCGATTCTTCCATAGCTTTCCCCAATAGAGTTCCACTAAACAAGAATAATCTCATGTAATTCATATCACTAAGCAACAATAATCTCATGTACTTCATATCAAAATTGAAAACTAGATTTATGGGATAATGGAATGGAATCCTTACTTGCCAATTGTGGTCTCGGTTAAGAATTTGCTCCAAAAGAAACCAAGTTGAACAGCATTGGCGAAGCCTCTCGATTCCAATAAGACATGCCAAAGAAGGATATAAAAATAACCTACAAAAAAAACAGTGAGGTACGGAAATAAATAGGAAATAAAAAGGAAAATTTACATACATAGAGCACAATTCTTATGTATTTACATATTTCCCACCTAAACTTTCATATTTACTTGCAGAGCACTTTGGTGCTTTATACCTATGTATGAAAAGGTGTTCACTCAATACGTGGAATTATTGCTATTTTTTTATGTGATATTTAATGACTGATATGTGTGCAAATATGTAAATACATAAGAGTTGTGTGCCATTTGTAAATGACCCAAAAAAAGAAAACTGATGTAACAAAATAACTAGTACAGAGGACACACACTAAGTCCATTCGGCTTCCGATCTGGAATTTCTCTTCTGATTTTGATGTTGAAACCTTCATGCTTTTTCCGTTGGAACCAACCTCCGAAGTTGGGGGCTGAGAGAAAGCCAGCGCATCGAATATTGCCTTCAGTTGTGGTACGATAAATGAAGCAGTTGACTCTGATCCAATCCTCTGACAAAATGCAATGAGTGCTGATGCAGTAGCCTAGGCAGAATAGAGTTTAAAGTTTGTTTTATACATAATTTCATGAATTTCTTCTGTCTGGTAGTCTAAAACTGAATAGTTTATGAACATTTCAACAAAATATCCATAGTAGAACTGTGAATATACAATGAAAATGATGATACCTGAAGCACAGGGAGGTCAAGATTAGTCTGCATGAGAACCTTAACATGGAGACAGGTTTGTTCCTACAATATTTAGATATTATTTAATCTTTATGCATCATTAAAAACAAGGGAAATTTACATAGGAGCACAGAATTCTGATGTATTTACATTCTCACACCTAAACTTTCATAATTACATAAATAGCAGCACTCTGGTGCTCTAAACCTATGAATGAATGTGTATTTCACTTTTAAAAAGTAGTAATAGTGTTACTTTTGATGAGATATTAAGATTTGAGTCCTATGTGTGTAAATGTGAAAGTTTAGGTGTGAGATATGTAAATACATCAGAATTGTGTGCTATGTATGTAAATGCCCCTAAAAACTATAGAAGCACACGGATTAACATAACAACAAAGCATATCATACCTGAACCAGCTCCCTTAAGATGATCTCTGACGGCAAAAGAGAAACAAGCCCGTCAAGAAAAGAAAAGCTATCAATCAAAGCTAAACCTATCCAGCTGCGCATAGGCTCAGGTTTGCTCGCGTAAGAAGCATCAACACAAGTGAGAATGAGATTACGTATTAAAGGTAAAAGCTGTCTGACGATGAAATTTTTCCCGAGAAGCCCGCCTGGTAAGCAAACAAATCCATAAGCTACTGCGTTACTCTTCTGATTGGAGTAAACTGTCAAAATAGTCCTTTCATTATATAGGATCATTTTAATCTCATAGTCTATAAAAATATCAATTTCGTCCCAGACTCTTCAAATTTGGGATTTAAAGAGACTATTTCAGCTCGTACTAAGAGAGTCAGGGCTAAATTAGCATTTCTATAGACTCGGAGACTAAAATGACTCTCTGTAAAGGGTCAGGAGACTACTTGTCACCCTTTAATTCAATTAGTAAGTGAAAGAAAACAATCTTATATACCAACTCTAACCAGGGTGTCAATTCCGTCAGCAGAAAGGCCTTTACCGAAGCAATAGATGACAGGTAAGAGTGTCTGGATGTAATTTTTGTTAAAACCAGTATAAAGAAGAGTAATTGAAACAAACCGAATACAGATTAAAAAAAGGCGAGGTATGTGACTCACCTGGTGAATTGTAATGGGGATGCCAAGTTCTTCGCTAGAACCAATTAAAACAACCGACGCAACAGAAACAGACACCTTGTCGTGCGAATTGCACAAGTTTGATATCACCAAAGGATGAAAACTCTCTAGGTATGCTTGTTTACCTAGTTGCTTCCACAGGTCACGAACGAATGATTCTTGGAGAATGGAGACCTTTAGATGTGAATATTCCGATGCCTACGGTAAAAACCAATATAATAAATAAGGAATGAAAAAAAACAAGGGGCATTTACATACAAAGCACACAATTTTTATTTATTTACGTATCTCACACCTAAACTTTCATATTTACACAACAAAAATAGCACTCTTAGCACTTTCTATAAAAGTGAAATACATATTTTCATGCATAGATTTAACGCACCAAAGTGTTATGTATGTAAATATGAAATTTTTGGTGTGAGATGTGTAAATACACTAGAATTGTATGCTACGTATGTAAATTTCCCAAAAATAACTCATTTTCTTCAATTTACATGTAAAATTTTCTGAATGGTAGGCAAAAGGAGCTCCCTAATTGCCCAAGTGTCGAGGCACTTAAGAAATTCTTTCAATAGGCACAAGGCGGGCTCAGCTTCAAAATCAGATATAGCAGACATGATAAGTGGTAAACAATACGAAGCGCACATTTCTGCAGCGTATGTTCCCATTGCTTTTAAAGCACCTTCAATAGCAAGCCTCGCAGCATACCGGAGACGAGAGCCAGGTCTCGATAAGAGTTGAAGTGGAGCTAAGAATAAATAAACCCCTCTAATTGATGCAGAGAAGTATGGCGACTCCAGAAAACATTTAGCTGCAGGCCTACTGAAAACAATGAACTTTTCAGGATTAAAATTTAGGAAAACTTAGAGACATAGCACAGAATTCTTATGTATAAACTGTTGGGAGAAATTAAACCAAAATAATTTTTATCAGTTGCGGAACATAGTCACAGGATTCGAGAAAATCAAAATAATAAATTTAAGCACATAAGAAAAATCAAAACAACCAGAAAAATACATGTGAATTTACGTGGAAAAATCTGAGAGTGAAGAAAAACCACAGAGCCACACCACCATAAATTCACTGTGAAAATCAGATAGGTTTACAAAGGACTGTCAGTCGTCATTTTGGAAAGAATGATTTTTGTAAATATGAAAATAATTTAACATAAATATGTGATTTTTGATTTTTGAAAGTAATATTTTAATTTTGAAAATAGATAGGACCAAATAAGTCTCACATATTGAATAGTTTGGATGACTGGGCGCGATACGACATATAATACATTATCCCGAAGGATAAGTAATCCACATGACAGTAGGCTTAACCATCTAAACTAAAGAGTTTGTGACATACGTTTAGTCTGTGAAACATTTTATGTATGACCGACAATTTCCCATATCTAATATAAGGATTAGATAGGGTTTATTTTACCCAGGTTCCAAGTTCCCTGAAGAGACAAGCCCCTATAGTTAATTACATCTTAAATGACCGGAGTCACTGTCGGTCAACTTTTTCGATTGATTTGTTTAGATTTTGAAAATATGAAAATATGAAAATAATTTTTGAGATTTAATTTAAGTATAAAAGATATATAGTTTGAGTTTTAAAAGTAGTATGTTTTAATTTTTAAAAAATGAGACCAAATGGATCTCATTAGTCTGATAGTTTGCATAATCGTGCATGATACGACGAATACTACACCCTCCCGGGAAATAAGTGTAGATCTCAGCGATAAACCCAATCATGCAAACTAAGAGATTTGTGACATCCGTTTGGTCTGCGAATCTTTTATATATGACAGACAAATTCCCCTATTTAATACAAAGATTAAATAGGGTTTATTTTACCTGGGTTCCAAGTTCCCTATAGAGGCAAGCCCCTATAGTTAATTACATCCCAAATGACGGGAGTCATTTGAGAAAACTCTCGATAATGATCAATGGTTCTAGTCTTCAAGAATTCAAGGTTCAGGTTTTCAAGGTAGGACGTAGAAGGGCAAATGGGAGTGGCTCAAACATGAACAGTTATTTCAGGAGTCCAAAGGAAAGAAAAGGTAGGGGATGTCACAGATCCTGAGGAGAACCCTCAGTGACTTCCCAAACTATCCTAATGTGTGGCTGCATTTTTAGAGATGATGTTATTTAAATGTTCAATCCTGCCAATTTTATTATTTGGGACTTACATTTGCATAATATCCGATTATGCAAATCACCCACAGAGAAAGGAGGGTTTACGTCGTACCACACAACAACCTCGGAACCTAAAACGAATTAGGACTTATGCTGCACAACATGGTTGTACAGGGGCCTAAAAGAGGGTGAGGATTTACGTCGCACTAGGCGAGCTACCTCGAAGTCCTATGGGTTGTTATTATACTAGGAAGAGATAATGCTGAAGAAGATCTTCTTACTGCTCGCTCCAAGCTCCTCGTCCTGCTGCCCACAAAGTTGGTTCCAAGCTCCTGTCGTCGCGATGGCTCCAGGGTTTAAGTGTTTGAAAATTGTAGTTTATGTTTCACAGTTTTGGTTTTGCATGCAGAATAAGCAGATTGCAAATAAATAAAATGTGCTTGAAAGGTAAAATGCAGTAAAGTAAAAGGCTGTATATAAACTGTAAAAGCGTACCTGGGCATCTGCTACTGTTGTATTATTAATGTTGCGAGCATAACATTATTTGCAGGAGATTTTAATAAACTTGCAAGAAAATTAAATAAAGCAAGAAAACCCAACAGGAAAGTCATAAAAACGAGTAGAAAAAAAAAATCACAAGCAAAAGAAACGCATAACCACATATAAAAGATCAGGACTGGGTATAAGACATTGGTAAAAGTGGGGGCTCAGAGCTGGGCTGTGTGCTTCCCGTTCTTGAATAGGAGTTACCAACTCGACAATGTACAAGAGGTAGTTCTTAACCTCAATCCAAGTGACTAGACGTGGACCTTTATAAATTTTCAGAGATTTTCATGCAAAAGTTATTATTTAAGTCTTTTTTATGCAGAGTTATTTTTATCATGCAAAAGAGATTTTTATTTTTTATTTTTGTAAATATTTTTGTAAAGTCGTGCAGTCCACAGACTAGTCACTCTAATCGTGCTAGAACTACTGACAACCTAAGAGTGTCGGGGGCAACGATCCCACCAAGAATCGACAAATAGTATCATAGGTCCTTCCCTCTCCCTTATTGAAGATCCTTGAGGTTGGATATACTATTCTAATAATTTCATTTTGTATCCCTCGTTTAAGCACGCATAAGCAATGTCGTCATCGCCCTCGCCACCTAGACCCTAGACTTATCCTAGTCCGATGATACATATGTGGCGTTAAGAAATTTCCCCAATTGCCAGGAAGATTTGAGTGTAATATTCAAGCTCAAATCCCGATGCACTGGGTTTTATTGTAGGTTAAGTCATTGAAGGAATTTCACTGTTGATTTAATTAAGGAAGCACGGGTCACGTCTCGGTGCATCCTGGTGTCTAGTGTCAAGATCAGTTTGTGAATCAAACTCTAGTGATGTGTTTCATTATTCATTTGAAAATTAGGTGATTGAACGCTCACCTAGGGTGTGCTCCTAAAATCTA